ATAATTTTGGGAGCATTTCATTATTGTACCTATATTGTTATCATTTAAATAAAGATTTGGATTAAACTACAAAATTGGTCCCTGTGGTATTCAAAAAATTGTGGATAATGTCCAAAAAGTTTTCAACTTGCATGGATAGTCCAAAATCAAGAATTTTCTATGAATTTGGTCCCTAATAAAGTGAAAAGGACTATTTTGCACTTATTATTTATCTTTATTTTATGAAAAAACTGCAAAAATGGTCCCTATAGTATGCATTTTTTGGGGTTTTAGTCCAAACTTCGACTATTTTGGATTGGTGGTCCTTTTGAGGTAGTTTCATTGCGTTTTTGGTCCCTCGGTAAACTGAAATGATTGTAATGCCCTTATGATACTTTTTTTTATGTTTTTTCTATTTAATTTAAATGAAAAAGAAAATAAATAATTAAATTGGACCCACATTTCTCTCTCTCTCTCTCTCTATATATATATATATATATATATATATATATATATATATATACAAACATACACACACGATCCACACCCCCATTCTTCCCCAGCCGAACCATTCACCTTCATCGCTCCTTGCTTCACCCCACACCTTCGTCTTCTTCTCTGATGTACCTTCGCCTCATCGCCGATCTCTGTTATCGCCTGAAGTTAGCTATCCACAGGAAAAGGGAACGATAGCCCTAAATTATCCCCATCTAATCATCCATCGATTGACTACTGCTGAACCAAACCTCCCACCATTGGTGTTTCCAATTCCCACCTCCTTTGATAACTCCATGGCCTTCGATGTCCGGTGGCCCTATCTAAAATCTTCTTCGCTTCCTCGTCATCGCTCGTCGGATATCAGAGCGTCACCTGAAAGCTTTATCGTGGTTGTTCTGTCTGGCAGCTTTATGAATCTGATGGCTAGTGGTATCAGCAGTGGAGGGTTTATGGAGGTTTAAGTTCTAGTTTTCGACTTATTGAAGCAACGATATCCGATTTCTTACAAATTTGCATCTGATAATTTTGGAGGTTTAATTTCTAGTGTAGTTAATAGACTTGTGATTGATTTAGTGAATGGGATGATGTTTTTGCTCATTATTGATTAATTGGGTATTCACAGGAAAGCTTCAATAAACTCCCTTCAAGATTCAACAAGTATTTCGTGGTGACGAGGTGTTGGCTGATGGTAGCGGATTAAGATGGTGATGGAAGGTGATGTCCTGATGGTGATGACGAGAGAGATTGAATCAGGAAGTGAAGATGCTAATTTTTTACAGGGCAGGAATTTGAACGCCGATCTAGTATCACTTTTGGTGATGAAGATGGTTTTCAGCAAGGACTAAGAAGGAGGAGAGATTAAAGGTGGGTGACGAATTTGAGAGCAATGTATCTTTATGTGTGTATCTGGGTTCCATTCTAAACCACTAAACTCTCTCTATTTCTTTTTTGATCCTTGTCATTGTGTATTTACATTTTATGTCTTGTGTTTGTGTGTATGTGGATTTGTGTGTGCCTGCATCTGGATCTATATTTGTGTTAGAGTGTTAATTCAAACATTAGTTGTACAAGAAATATAGATAGCACCATCGATTTTAGTTGCAGGTTAGAGAGAGAGAGAGGGGGAGATAGATAGATAGAGAGAGAGAGAGGTGGGCCCCTCTTTTTTAATTATTAAAATAACTATTAGATTTAAAAAATTGAAAAAAAATGAAAAATAAATACCCCAAGGGTATTACAGTCATTCACTATTCAGAGAGACTAAAAACACAACGAAACTAGCTCAAAAGGACCATGAAACCAAAAAAGTCGAGGTTTGGACTGAAACCCCAAAAAAATGCATACCATAGGGACCATTTTTGTAGTTTTGTCTTATTTTATTTAGTATTTCATTAATTATAAAAAATTAAAAAATAAAATCCCACCCCATCCCACCCCACCTGTAACCCCCATCTCTCTCATCACATATTCTTCCTTTGTAATAAAACTTCACACACTCGTAACATATATAATATAATATATATAGTATATAATATATAGAGATATATATATATAGATATATATAATATATATATAATAATATATATCATATATATATAGAGAGAAAGAGAGAGAGAGAGGTTCAAATGTTTCTCACATCTATTGTGTGCTAGAAGCCCAATAAGATTTAGTAAAAATTAAATGTATATTAAATGATATCCTACTTATAATTTCTTTTTATAGAAACTAATTAAATTCGTCATTAATGTCAACAATAATATTCTTTCAGAATGAACTCGTATTTAGAAGAATGAGAGTGTATTCTAGCAGAATGAGTGTGTATTCTAGTAGAATACACTCTCGTTTTTCATATTCCATGCAATTTTATTATATTTTAAGTGAGTGAGTCCTAAAACAAAAAACAAACCCATGCATAAAAACTTAGATGCGAATTCATTCTAAAAGAATGTTATTGCTGACATTAATGACGAATTTAATTAGTTTCCATAAAAAAACAATTGTAATTATGGATATAATTTAATATACATACAATTATGGAAATCATTTAATATCTATTAAATAATTATTTAATTTTACTAAATTCCTATTGGTGCATTCTAGCACACAATAAATATAAGAAACATATTAACCTAGCCCTAATATATATATATATATATATATATATATATATATATATATATATATATATAGATATATATATATACACTAAAATTTTTAAAAAACACACATAATGGACCTGCAACTCCAAAGCATACATAGATCACACACACACTTTGTGAATTTAAAATACACACACCAAACAACTTGAATAAATCTTTCCAGAATTGATGTTAAGCTTTCAATTTTCTCCAAAATAAAAGGTCCCAAATGTCTTCAAATGGTTTTCGTTGCCATTTAGATTCATCTTCAAACCCAACGAGGGTTTATACTTGGGTCTTGCTTATAAAGGGTGAAATCGTTTTTAATTGGGGATCTGAGAAAAGAAGCATTTAAAACCTAGGTGAAAGGGTTGACAATTGCAAGTCAATTGAAGGAAAAGTGGTTGGCGACTCAGATTCGCTGGAGATGGGTCTTGAATCTTCGAATATGGAGAAATCAGCATCGATGTGGGTTTCTTTGAGATCAATTTTTGGATGAGATAACGGGGTGGTGGGTAGTTGAAGGGAATGGTGTTTCATCGGAGGTGTGTTCACTGAAAGTGGGGTTCGATCCTTAGGAGGTTGAGCAAACGATGGGGGATGTCAACGATAAGGTTGGAGCTTTTAACAGGGAAATGTCTGTCGGTTGTTGAGCATGGTGGGATCGTGTACGATGGGGAGGTGGATTTTCCACTGTGGGTTCAATCGGCGGTCCTGGAGGAGTGGACGACATATGTGTTTGATTTGGATTTAGTAAGGTACAAGGATATTGAAGAGGAAATGGTGAGGTTGTTGCAGGTATGGGTGTGTATGTACAAGAAAATATATATATATATATATATATATATATATTATAATATATATATATATATATATATATAGATAGAGAGAGAGAGAGAGAGAGAGAGAGAGTAGATGAAGTGATGGGGTGGGCCAACATAATTCTTTATTTTTGCGTTAATATTTATAGATTAAAAAAATACAAAAAAGAAATTAAAAGCGCAAAACAGTCAATTCAAGTGCTCCATGGACCAAAACTATGGAAATTTCTTAATTTTAGGACCAAATTCACGAAAAGATCTTGATGTTGGACATTTCATTCAAGTCGGAAACTTTTTGGACTCTATCTACAGACTTTTAAATACCATAAGGACCAATTTTGTAGTTTTGTCAAAGAGTTGTTATGGTAAGAATATAAAATTGTTGATGGACCGATTTTATACGATATTTACTTACCTTTGTGGGTTGAGTTCTCGGTTTTGACCCATGATCATCTATATCGTTTCCATATCTCACATTAGGATATATCTCCATCTATATATACATGTGATGTGAAACATACTAAGAGACACAATATACACACTAAAATTCGTGGGTCCTGACGATTTTAGAGATAGTTCTTGAGATCAACAGGAAAACCAATCATAATCATAATGAATCATGTATGTAATCATCTTTTCTTGTTTAAGTTTCTTTTAATCAGATTCGAGATTAAAGATCTAAAGTTTAAGCTTCCACTTTTATGTTTATGTTTTGATGATGAGAATAACCAACAAAATGTCCTAGAGGCCAAAGGTAAGTAAATATCGTATAAAAACCGTTCCGGTTGAACCAGTAAAACTAGTCAAAACCGGGAATTTTAAAAAAAAACATTTTTTTTTTCATTTTTTGTATTTTTTTTTATAATTAAAATTGATAATAATGTAATTATGACATCATCCGGTTTTTCCGGTTTTTAAGACCGGTCCGACCAGTTGAACCATCGAATCAATAAGACGGCCACTTCGGTCTCCGTTTCAAAGCCTTGGTCAACATGTCGGCATGACCTAAGCTCAAGAGATCCTCCACGGTGTTGGATTAATCACTTTTTCATATTTCATATTTTAGGAGTTCCTTTTGTCTAGTTTAAGTAAGGGGTATTTTTAGAAAAGTATCCATATTTAAGTTTTTATCTCCTCCATAGTTTTAGAATTTCACGTCATTAATAATTAGGTCAAGTTATCCTTTAACCTACTAGATAAGCTGGATACCTTTTATATAGTATATATAGGAACATATATTAAGAATCAATCCTCCCAAGTTTTCTTTGCTTCTTTCTTTTGATGCACAAGGTTTGATATCAAGCTTTTGTTTACACACCTTCCCACAACCTCATCTTCATCAGGCAACCTCATCTTCATCAGGCATCAGCTGCCTTCAACGACCTACAACCTTTGGTTTCGGTCAAAGACCTACGACGGATTTCACAAGAAAAAAAAATCGAACCCCACACAATGAAAACTTCATCTTCATCACCTAGAAAAAGGGAAGATAAGGGAACTCCACTGCAACTTTCTACATAATTTTGGAAGATTTGGACTCTTGTTTCCACAGAAATAACATAATATAGTTTATTTTATTTAGTATCCAATTTGGGTATGAAAACATAAAGATATTATATTTCCAACTTATTACAAGCTTGATCAGAAGCAAGGTTTTTTAGCCAGATTGAATCGGATTGAACTGATATATCGTCGTCATTTCTATGCCACGACCACTTGGCATAACTTGAATTCACTATCTCAAGTCGCCCATGCCCAAAACTGACTTCCCTAAATACCGATATCGTTGGTTGTGGTTCTTTGTACCTACAAAACATGGTTTTCATAAATTGTCAATATTCAAACAAATGTGTTGAAAAAAAGACGACATTTTTACTTGAGTCAACTCACTTCCCAGCAGAGCGTCCACGGTTGCCTCCATCCCCGATTGTGATATGAACCGGGGCACAATCATCACTATTTTGATTGTAAACCCGAATCTGCAAGTATATATAACAAGCGACATACATGATCAGTTTGTTTATCGACAAAAAACGATAACTTTAGGTTTAGATCTAGTTGGCTTACAAAGCGCTCATAAGCATGGACGTGTCCTGCAAAAACGACATCAACACGAGCTTCATAAAGCAATCCCTCCATAGATTCCTTCATATCGACCGACTGTTTCTCCCCTTGATGATCAACATTTGAGTTATACCATGGAGCATGAATAATCACGATGAGCCATGGTGTTTTGCTCCGGTCGACCTTCTTCAAATCAGACTCTAACCATCGATATTGGTTCGACCCAGGTCCAAAATCGGTGTAGGAACCCAAACATGATGACGTGGACACCGGAGACCTCAAACGAGTAATACAAATTCGACGTGGACCCGCTCTCCTCAAACGGCATATGCCACCTGGCGTTGTAGGAAGTGAACGGAGTTGGGTGAGTGGCCGGAATTATCTCCATCTCGTGGTTGCCTTGTGTCACCATCCATGGCCGTTTGCTCGCTAGCGGCTCCACCAGCCGGCCGAATGAGTCCCAGATGGGTTGCACCATCTCGGCGTAACATAAATCTCCGGGTAGCAGAAACACGTCGTAGTTTGCTTGTGAGATGTGTTCAAGCGTCGTTTTCGTCCATTCGGTTTGTCCAAGATCACCTGCATGCGTTTAAACTTTAAATTAATTCCCACTTCTTCATATGCACTAACAACACAAGTTACTGAAGGACGAAAGAAGATGTAAGAATTTTGTAACCTGAAATAGCAAATTTGATCGGAAATTGAGCCGGAGGAGTCTTGAAAGAGTATTCAGGGGTTGAAACAGGGGCAAAAGAGTAATAATACATGGTGTTTGGATCCAATGGACCTATTACGACGTCGTGTATTTCACCGGAGGTGTAATTTATATACTTGTAAGACGAAATGGTCCCTTTGGCCGAACTTTTGTATTTCCCCGGAGATGTACCGTAGTTTACCATGGCTGGAGTATGTTCGTCGGTAATCCATGAAATTCTCATCCTGTCTTCACCAACCAACGACACATGAATCTGTTAAAACCGCAAATTATTACAATATTCTGTTTGATGATGAAATTAGGGCAATGAGAGAGTAGTAAGTGAGTACTTGTTGTGGAGTGGTCGAATCAGCATCTTCGGCTAGTGATACAAAGAGATCCTCCCGCGGCGGAGGCCGCTCATATGCGTGAGAAATTTCCATGGCTCCGGCGAAGACGACGGCCACCATCGCCAGCAACCTGAACTCCGGGAAGCTCATATCGGAACGAGAAGAGAGAGGGAAAGATGACGATAGATGAGCAATGGGAGTGACTAGAGAAGGGTTTAGGTGTAGGATCTGGACCTTTAAATCGTAGTTGTTGAATGGATAGGTATTATTTAGAAATTAGAGCTACAAAACAAAATCAATTTTTGACGAAAACTTCATAATCTAAAGAGATATATGATTGAATTGATCAATCAAAGACGGAAGTTTTGACCAAAACACTTATGCCAATCTTCTGTTTCTCTCTCACACAGTGAAACATTCACTTGTTGAGTTCGATTTTGTTTTTCCGTCGAATCAGTCGTAGGTCGTTGACGACAGCTGTTGAGGGAATGAGGTTTAACGGGAAACGATGGATAATCTCATAATCTTATGAGGTAGAGTAAATTACACGAATGGTCCCTATGGTTTTGGGTAATTTGCGCGTTTAGTCTCTAACTTTTTTTTTAACTCGGACCATCCCTAACATCCAATTTTGTTGCGTCGTTGGTCCCTGCTCTTTGTGAAATGACTATATTACCCTTACTGATTCTTTTTCTAATTTATTTATTGGTAATTGTATTTCTATATATTTTTGTTATTTGTTATTATTAATTTATTAATTTATTTATTGTTAAATGTATTATTCTTTAACCTTCATCGATCTGGTTACTTTCTTGCAGGAGGAAACTACCACCCATACGCCATCGGAAATCACCACCACCTCTGTATAAATTACCACCATCTTTCCTGCCATAAAATAATTGAAGAATCCAGATGAACCTCGATACCATAAATCCATTCAAACGAGAAATGAAATCCAAAATCCAAACAAGAAATCAAAACCAGGAATTCAAATGAGAAATTTAAACCGAAAATCAAACCTAAAACCAATTGATTTAAACCAGAAACTCTCCTTGCAAAGTAGATATCAAAACTGGAAAAAATCAAAAACTAGAAATCGACCCAAAATTACATTTGCAGCAAAATCTACCCAAAAATACATTTCGAGGAGTAGATGTGACGACGACCATGGGTGGTTGTCATTTTCATCGATTTAGGGTTTAGATCATAACTAGGTGAGAGAAGATGGTGACCACCATTGTTTTAGTGATTAGTGATCTAGGATTTAGATCTTAAGCAAGATTTAGGGTTTTCGTTGAAAGGTTCCGACGAAGTTGAAGGGCGCCGACGATGTTGAAGGGCGGCAACTGAGGTTCTTTTAGCAAAGTCGTCGCCGATGAAGCATTCCAGCGCTTCATAGTGTTCTGATTTAGGGTTCCAAACTTCCATCTTTAGAGAAGAGAAAAAGAGGGAAAGAGAAGAGATGTAGAGATAATCCGATATATTAACTGGTGGGTGTTGTTGGTGGTTTCCGGTGGGCAGGCGGTGGTGCAGATCAATGGAAGAAAAAGTCAATTGTGTCGATCGGTGGCATACGGACGACGTTTGACGATTTCCGGTGGTTCGACGCCGTCTGTGTTGAGAAGAGTAGATTCAGAGAAAAGATATGGTGAGTAGACGTATAATGCTTTTAGAAGTGAGTGGGTTGGGGGTGAATCTAGGGTTGGGGTTAGGTAGTTAATTTATTTTATTTTAATTCATTTTATTTTAATCTTTAATATAAAAAGAAAAACAAATCATTAATAAATTAATAAATAAATCAGAAAGGGCAAAATAATCATTTCATGTCTGATAAGGACCAAGCGTGTAACAAAAGCAAACAGTAGGGACTTTCTGAGTTAAAAAAATAAGTTAGCGACCAAACACGCAAATTACACTAAACCACAGGGACCATTCGTGTAATTTACTCTATGAGGTATGACCTATGAGGCAGTTTTGGTGGTTGTTTTGTTTGAGTACCGGAGGTGCTCCATCCTCGTGAAAATTTTTGAAAAAAAAAAAAAAAAAAAAAAAACCATTCTATCTCATTTTCAATTTGTGGGACCTTTATCCGTTAGATCAACAAAATTATTGAAAATAGTTCATAAATTATTAATTAACAAGTTTCTTAAAAAAACTGAAGTTTAGAATTTCAGATTCTACAAGTCTTTTGGAATGAATAAGATTTTAAAAACTAATATGAATGTTCTTAATGGGTCAATGGCAAAGCATTGATAATAATCGAACGATTTACCGATTGAGGTTGTTATGGTTGTTTTTCTAAGTTTTATCCTCTTTTCAAATTCAATTTTTTATAGATATTTATAGTAGATTATAACATGTTGGACAAAACTTTGCTGATAGAAACCATAAACTTATAACTAATAAATAATATTTAATAGTTCGAAAGTTATAACTTCTACTTGTATATAAATGTTTGAGAAAATTAGTTTGAAACTTTTAAAATACGTAAAATTACATAAAACCATATTTGTTTTAAAAAAGTAAATATATAAGTTATATTTTTAAGGGTAATGTAATGAAATTATTATATCATGCGGCAATTTTTTTCTTAAACGCTACTTTAAGTAGCTTTTATATTAAAAGTTTTTTGTTTAAAACAAAAACTTTAATCCCACACTCGAATAAATTTTTTTCTTATATTTGAGTTTTTTTTTTAAAAAGTTAATAACTAAAAGCTCTTAAAATCTCGTTGTGGAACACACTCTGTTTTAGTAACATACACGTTTTAATATGATACATCTTTTTTAGTTTTTTTATCGATTGAGAAATAACCTAAAACATATACTTCAATCCAAGTAAAACTCTTACCTACAAAAGTTTAACACAACTTATAAAAACAAATTTTAGTGGATTCTAGGAGTTCGGCTAGTCTATAAACGGACTCTAACAATACATAGTAACAAGACAACGAACAGTTAATAGAAGCTTTGATAGGTTCTCAAGAATCATCTAAATTTGACGGTTGAGTTAGTGATATATCGAGTGAAAGAGACATGGTAATTGGGAGAAAAACGTAAGACTCGAGTTTATATTGTACAATGATAGGACCTAGAAGAGATCGTTGAAGTATTTTTAAGGGGATTGTCATGCCCATATAGAGGTCCTTACTGTAGTTTTCGTAAGGAGAAATGATGTCCAAAATGACACATGGTTCAAAGACTTATTGTTTGGTGTTTCGTGTTTCATGTATGTACCATATATCTACCGTAAAAAAATGTGTCATGTCCGATTTTTCGAATTCAGATTCTGATAGTAGGTTTAGATATTTTGATATTGAAATATACTTTTGATTTTGCTATTTTGTATTTATTTATTTTGTAAATTTTGAGTTAGTGAACAAAAATATGAAATTTGGTTAGTAACTATTAAGTTTGGTGAAGTGTTAAAGTGCTAAATTTAAATTTTCTATTTTTTCCCAATTCACTACTTTCGCTTTACTATTTATATGTTCGTTTTTTTTTAAATTCATATTAATTTACATGTATGATGTAACGTCCGTGTTTCTAGGCTAGGCATTAATATTGACATAATAGTCTAGGTTAACCTTTGTAACTCATTTTGAAGAAATGAAAAGGAATTATGTAAATATTATGTGTTTTATGCTTAATTATTAGGATTTAATTAATTAAGAATAAAAATGAGCGTCGAAAATAAATATTAGATAAAGCCGATATTTATTAAGAAAGTTGTAGTGGTCGTGACAAGGATTACGGATATATAAACAATACCGAAATCCGAGTTATAACGAAGAAGTTATGATCTGTCAAAGTTTCGCGACAAAATCGACATGGTGCCGAATGACGTAAAAAGTGAGTTTTTGATAAACTACTTTTTAGCCTTAGTGATCTAAACGAAAGTCGTAGTGTTCGTTAAACCGAGAGTATATATAAAAAGAACGTCCAAATCTGACTTCGTATGAGGAAGTTATGATTTTTCTAAGTTTCAGCTTAGCAGTAGACAGCTAAAAACTCAAATTTTAGATCGAGTGGTTTTTAGCCGACACAACCTGAACGAGAATCGAAGGTCTCGTCAATAGTAGTACAACGGTAAAAAGACAGATGAAAACGGACGTCGAATGAAGAAGTTATGAATTTTTAACGGATTTCCGGTCCCGGTCTGTTAAAAATAATAATATTAAAATTAAAGTCAAAATTAGCCGACGAAGTCTAACCGAAAGTTGTAAAGCGTAATTTTACCTACGCGTGCATATAAAGAAAACGTCAAAAAACGGAGCTCGTATGCGAAAGATATGGATTTTAGAAGTTTTGGCACAAAAATCGAGAAAAAATGCCAAATCCGAGAAATTTCGCATGGTGGAACTTCGGCCACGTCACCCTCGCTGCATGCGCGCCACGTGTCCGAAATCTGCTGAGTCACCGAGGCCAGCTGGCGAGGCGTGTCGCCTTCCCTCGCATCCGAAGTACGGTCCAATGGGGGTCCGACGCGTGCCCTTGCTTGACGTGTCCGAGTTTCGCACCAAGTGCCACGACCGAACCCTCGAACCATAGACCTCGGTCCAATCAGGAGGCGACACCAGGACCCTCGCACGTGCGACCCATGTGATTTCGCTTCGGATCTGCTGACGCGTGGAGGCTTCTCAGCCCTTGGATCAGGAGCCTCGCCCCTATAAATCGGAGGGTGCGAGACCTCCCGGTGATACTTTGAAAACTTGTCATTTTTAGCCCCTTTTTCAATATTTCTCTCATTCCAACTTCCCCCAAAGCCCAGGTATTATACCAAACACCCGAAATTCGCCCCGAAGTGCCCGAGAAGCCCGAGAAATTTATCTTTTCGGTTTCGAAGCCCAACCTTCGCAGAGCCCGGTTTCTCAATAAAACTCCCGGTTTTATTAGAAACGATCGTTTTAGGAAACGAAGTGCTGTCCGATTATCATTAAATCAAGTGAGTGTATAGTTACTTTCATCTTAGACATAGATATGAAGTATTTTATATAAAATACGTGCTATGTGAATATATATTGTTTGCTTATTTGAGATGGATATTGAAGGAATGATTTATACAGGTTTTTAAACTGTATATGTATTTTTATCTACAAATATGTTGGGTAAAACATGGGTAGATGAATTAGATGATGTGTGATGAAATAAAAAGTGATGAGAGGTATCGATGTTTAAGATGATCTAGTCATCTAGCAGAGTATAGACGACGGACACAGACTACTTTAGATAGTCCAGTGGAACGTTAGCAGACTCGTAGTCGGTAGGTATGTTTGAACTATATGTTCATAAGGTGTTCTCGAACTATATGTTCATTAGATGTTTTTAAACCATGTGTTCATCCGATAGTTGTTCTTTTTGACACTATTACGTGTCGGGGTACGGGAGCGTACGAGAGTACTTTATTAGTATTTTCCCTATACTTTTTATTCTGAAGAGCTTTGGAGTCTTCGTTTCTTTTTATGAAGTGATCGGACGAGCTTCATGAGTC